AATTTATTTTATTTTCTTCAAAATAAGTTCCTTCTGAAGCGATACACATATGCCAACTTTTAACCCAATCATCCATACACTTTTCGTAGGCCCGTGCAGGTATGGCTTTTAGTTCCTTCTGCGAATTCTCTTTTACCGATTCAATCGACTCAAAACGCTTACCACGAAGGGGCAATTTGAGTTTACGGAAACATATTCTGGCGAATATGGTGCCTAAGCGATGACAGTGGTGCCGTGTTTGGTCAAAAAATCGCGTATAACAAGAGCCGTGTGCGATTGAGCATTGTCGTGGTGAAGAATCCAATTGTTGGCTTTCCACAAATCTAGTCTTTTCTTACAGATGGACTCACGCAAATGCTCTGGCAAAAATTCGTAATGAACAACACCGCGGTAGTCGAAAAAAACAGTGAGCATAACTTTAATTTTCGAGCGAGTTTTGCGCGGTGTTTTGGGTTTTGGTTTCGACGTCATACTCCATAAACCCATGTCTCATCACCTGTTATGATGCGTTTCATGATTGTAGTGTCGTTTCCATGCTCAAAAATCATTTTTTCACACACGTTCTTTCGGTATTATTTTTGCAAAAAATTAAGGTGTTTCGGTACAAGTGGAGCTGCAACACGTCTCATGCCCAATATATCATGTAGAATGTGGTGAACGGATCCATTTGAGATGTTTAAGTCACGAGCAATCTTCCTTTCAATCGTACGACGATCTTCCAGCACAATTTTCTGGATTTTTGCCACGTTGTCTTCGGTATTTGATGTTGATGGACAAGGCAAATCTTCGATCACTTCACGACCCTCTTTGAATGATTTATACCATTCGTATGCCTATGTTCGAGACATAGAAGAGTCCCCGTAAGCTTTCTGCACCATTTTCAATACTTCAACACATGAAATTTCGTTGAAAACACAAAATTTCAAACAAACTCGTTGTTCAACTGAATTTTCCATAGTAAAAATCGCTAAATGCACTTGAGGTAGTCACACATTAACAGCAGCTGTAAACAAATCAATTGACAGATGGCGCTCAAATTTGTACCATATGTCAAGAAAGGTGGTACACATACCAAAAAATTTTTTGAAAAACGTCTATTACTTAAGGAGTAGATAACAAAATCCGTTTATTTTAGATACTTTTTGAACAGAAGGTATACTTAGAAATCGGTATAAAAAAAATGGTTGCCATAAATTAAATACTTGTAAAAATATAAGTACATTTATCTTACTACTTTTTATTTTCTATCTCTCTCTTTTGCATTCAATTTATGTTAGATAATTTATATTTTTATATTTAATTTATTTAAATAACATTAAAAGGCTGAAATAATATCTAAATGCGCTTAGTAATTTCTTTGCCTGTATAATATAAGCAAACAGTATTCAACCTAATGCATTGACAAGTTCTATTTTGTAATTTAATTACATTTATTCTTTAAAAAATAGATCAAGAAATCAATAAAATATCGTCTAAACTATGTCATAACACAGAGAAACCCGTAAAATAACAGATATTAAGGACAACAAGCATAAATTCTTCCTTCTTCATAATTCGCTAGGGATTTTTATATACAATAGTACTCGTACAATAGTCCTCCATTCAACAGTTATTTGCATGATTGCATGCTTGAGGTATGTAAAAGCAAAAATATTTTGTAGGTCGATGGAGGATTGATGGAGACATATTTGTATGTCAAAAATGTTATTATTATATAAATATTAAAACGACTGTAATAAAATGTTTGCCAATTTTCTATACAAACAAAAATAATTTTTAATGGGTCTGATGATAATTTTCCATTCTGTTGATGAAAATTTAAAATACTTAAAAAAATTTTCCTCAAATTTTAAAAATACATGTTTATGGTATGAAGCAAATTCCTGAAGTTAAAATTCACGTCTTGTTTGTATTAAAATAAAATTCATTGATAAATGTTTCCGTCGTTGGAATCTGGCAAACCTCTAAAACTGAATGAATAACTAATAGAAGAGTTTCAAGTGGAGCAGTAGAATTACAGAAAGGAATATAGTGGCAAAAAATAAAGGATTATCACTTCCTTTGCACGATAACATAAAATCTACTAATCAAATTAATATAGTATCAAAATGAAGTCTTAAATCCTATTCTGTTTTATGGATTTGAAGTATGGTTTGTAACAGAACGAATTCTTCAAAAGCTTTGTAATTATTTGATGACTAATCTAAGATCTCTGCACCGCTCCGTGCGATTAGATAGTGCTAAGTAGGACAGTCTGTTGGTTTTCGCGAATAACTTCAGAACTCTGTCGCTTATACATTTTTTGACCGGGTCTATTCTAAGGCCTCTTAGCATGCGGATGTAACAAGGCACTTGCGGCATTATATGATATATATAATAAATATTATAAAGAACTACAAAAAACGCAAACGATATGGATGTCAATATGAATTTATAAGAATTGACTAAAGATTATGTAACAGCAGAAGAAAAGGTCGTCCCAAAACTCAAGAAAATCGTTTCTACAGAAACAGTGGTCGAGATTTCGAAGTCGAGCAAGGATTTATTATATTAATATTATGTATAAAATATTTGTCAGTGATGTTTGGTTCAAAAACAGATAAAATTATATTAACAATTCTACAACATTAATACACACATATATTGTACTTAATGGGTTTTTCTATGGTCTCTGATATTTCATTTAATGTACTGCAAAAGTTTCGTCTAGCTTAATGTATATTTCGTTCAGAATACTGCTAAAAAGATAAAAACAAAAATAAAATAAATAGTTACAAATATTTTTGAGCAAATAGAAAAATATTAATATTTTTTTATATATTCATTACTCATTTCATTAATTTATTTTTAAATTTAAACTGAAACCAGTCATTTTGCATATCATTATCTCATTCACAATTTTATCTCTGCATATTTCTATAATTTAATAAAAATTTTTAGTATTAAATTAAATTATTTAAAGCAACCAGTTAAACTCATTTTAAATCAAATTTTAAAAATTGTTATTATTATGAATTGTGTTCTTCTTATTGGTAATAAAATATATATGTTGGAATTCTAGTACAATGCTAGTTATTGACTTAAGGTACACTTAAATCGATAGAACAAAAAAATTAAATTTACTCATTAACTATAGTTTCGATGGTACGTCATGTCTGACAAGCTGCTTGTTACATCTTGGAGTATATAAACTATATAATGAAATCATTTTATTGATTTATAGATTTCCTTTGGCAAATCCTAGATCTAATTGAATAAAATTTTGGACAAATAAAGCGAATAGATAGGACTGGTTCATTATATCTCTCATATAATCTGCCATATAAAATAACAACTGAAAAAGGAGTCAATGTATAATGTATAAATATATGTATTCATAGAAATTTGACTGAAAACAAAATTTTAAGTGCAGATCGCTTTATTACAAATTTGCTTTATTAAACCAACAAAAAAAAATTTTGACAAACAATTTTAATTTAAAAATATTTTT